CTTCGAGATGCACAACAGCGCAGAATCGCCAAGCAGAAACTGATAGCCAAGTTCCGCAGCCATGAAGATGGCATCAACTGTGATCTTGGATTCACGTTGCACTAAATGTGACTCCACCGTACCGTTCTGTCAAATTTTCCTTTCTGTCCTGTTTTGACACCATCACCTTGATGGATTGTTATAATCTCTCTACCTTAATTAGTTTGTACAGTTTTGGATTACTAGTTACTTTGGTTAGACCTGTGGTATGTGACTCTTATACTTATCATGTTATTCCAGTCATTTAGTTTGTCTCCAGCACCACCTTATTTTTAATTTTTTGTAATTATCTGTCTGACTCAATTAATCAGATTATAGGCCATCCCTTCACTTCTTATTCAGCTGTTTACACATACTGTGTGACACTCTTGATCACCTGCAGAGATCTATCATTTGGCCTGTTGACACTCCACTCACACCATTTGTATGATCTTTTGATCTCTCTGCCCATAATTTCTGTGTTCTGTGAGCTTCTCTCTCACTTCACCTGACGAAGGGGCAATGCTCTGAAAGCTTGTGATTTCAAATAAACCTGTTGGACTATAACCTGGTGTCATGTGATTTTTGACCTTGTCCATCCCAGTCCAACACCGGCACCTCCACTTCATTTGTTTTTTTCCCTCTGGGCTCACACCCTGTCACCACCACCAACCCCTCCACAGCCATCACCCACACACCACCAAACCACCTCCCTCCCCCAGGATCGCAGAGAAGACTAAGCTGATCAGTGATGTTCCTGCTTTTCAGGTACTGGGAGCTGACAAAACTCTGTGATCCCTCAGCAGCCCCTCCAGAGTGCACTCCGAACATTGATGGACCTAATGCTAAGTCTGTGCAGCGCCAACAGTCCCTGCATTCCTTCCACACCCTTTTCTGCAGACGCTGCTTCAAGTATGACTGCTTCCTGCACCGTGAGTACTGCCCAGTTGTTGTGGGGCAATGAAATCCTGTGTGTTTGTCAGGCCTGGGCTGTCCTTGCTCCTCTGATCTGTGTGTCTCATTGGAGAGAGTTCCCATGTCGAAGCCAGTCAGTGATAGCAGTGATACTGGGGCTGAAGGGCAGCATGGGAGAGGTGGAATAAGCATTGCATTAAACTGGTAACAGCTCAAACACTGTCAGGGAAGTACTGAAGATGAAGGCATCTTGCAGCAGCTAAACTATCTCACATTTACTTTCATATCTTTTCCCCAGCCTCCAAGATTCTCACCCATCATACCTCTGGCCAAGGCACAAACTCCCAGTGGGCTAGTCACAGCCAATTGGGACCCATTTACACTGTAAAGATCCCCTATGAGTGTGTAACTGTGTCTGTATTGCCCTGGTGTGAGTGTGTAACTG